GGAAACCGACACATGGAATTTGAGAGAGATCCTTTGTGTAATTCTCAAGAAATAATGATAACAAACCTGGCCACATGTTGGCCATTTTTTTTGTTACAACTAGGGACAAAGGGGAAGCTACATATCAATTTTGAGAAAGATCCATCTAGTTCTTCTCAAGAAATAGTAATAATAAATACTGTTTATGGACAGACCGACAATGGATGGACGGAGGGACGATGGACCATGGACGTAGCACGATTTGAATAGCCCAACATCTGATGATGGTGGACTAAAAAACAGAGATCCCTGCCGTCTACAGGTGGCAGTCTGACAATTTATGGTGGATATTGTCACACAAAGAAAATGCAATATTAAGTCTAAATGAAGTTTGTTTGATAAATCAGGTGTCATGCAAATATGTGTTAGACTTTCTCAACACCCTTAACATATTGCTTAATGAAAAACTGCCTGAGCATTTTTCTTCATTGTTAAAGTGGTCCCAGATGTGTCAAAATTTTGAAGGAAATCAAAAGGGATGTAACTTCAATGCTTATCTGGAAACAAACTACTGGAAAATCATACATTTTTATGGGCAAAATGTTTTAATCATGAGTTACCACAAATTCAATGAAAACAAAATCCCTACAACAATTAATGATTGTACACATACAGTAATAAAAAGTAACTTTACAGTAACATACCGCATTAGTCTCAGCTTGGAAAAACAAACAACAGTTCTGTCCCAGTTCTTTTTCCTGATAACTAGCTTTAGAACGGCATGCATTATAGCTATATTGTCATCACTAAATCATTTCAATCCTCTCTCAGTTTACCCAATTAAATGTATTTATGGTTGTAATGGTACAATAAATGTCTGCACTTTTGACACCACATCCACAACCACACTATCAAGTCTCTGTAACTACTAACTGCCCTAGTTATGTGCATGTTGTATCACATATATCAATAATAGGCAACTTTTACTGGGATTGAAGGCGTCCATTATCTTACTCCCAAAAATATTACTTTGAAAACCTTAATTGCATTTGGGTTTGATATCAAATACCTGTATTGGAATGCTCTGAAGACATCTGAACAAGCTAGGACGTAAAAACCCTGTATATGATGAATCGATTCTAATTCAGCAAACAGAATGACAAAACAAACACATGGCCCAGTTACATCTATTCTTACAGCTATTTAGGTTGATTTATTTCATGACTTAAAGGGAAAAAGCATTGAAACAATCCCTATCAAAGATAGACACAGATATAACATGAGGATGAGGACACAATTAGCCTGTGTTACTTCTCCGCCAATCCAGGAAGCCTTTAACAGCTTTTAGTCTGACACATCTGTCATTTATATTTACTTAATTGTTAAATCTATACACATAATTCCACATCTGATTGGTTTCAGCTTTTGAAAATTTAAATACATAATTTTAAAAGATAATTATGAGTTTGCATAATTTTTAATAATAATTGTTTGTATAGTCTAATTTCACTATCATGGAAAATTCCTGCTGCATGATCAATCAATTGATTGTATTAACTTTTGAAAACTCAAATAGAATTGTGTACCATTCTGTTATACTTCCAGGCGGAGGCTGCTGACTAACACGGAATCCTGTTGACTCTGGTATCCCTCTTTAAGCAGCCTTGGTGTTGCTATTGTTTATTCAATGATAGCCTTATACCTGATCAAACATTACACTGATTGATTTCACCCTCTGGTAACAGATAGATTTAAAATGATATTGCCTGTCTAATATAGACCAATATTGTGTGTGTATATGAGATTAAAATAGGGCCTGAACATGATCAAGATGATGACATCATCATATGACGGCACATTCAGGTTTTGAATTCTAGTTTAAATGAGTTATTAAATATCAAGCTATACTTATTAAACATGATATCAATACGTTCCAATCTTCTGTTTATCAGATAATTCTGAACTGTTCATGTCAGAGCCATGCATATATTGATATGATGTATTTTTGGGAGTTGTTAATGATAAACATTCTTGAAATGTGATAAGATCAATTATCACCCAATCATAGACCATCCTTAACATCCCTGATATTTTAACTTATACATATTATAGATTATTTCCTTTGTCCTTGGATCTCACCCTATTTGAGTGAACTTGATGAAACTGATAAAACCCAGGACTGATGAATAACAAGAGGCCCATGGGCCTTAACGGTCATCTGACAAAAAGCAAGCCAAACCTAGAAAGTGGGTTGAGGTCATTCATTTGAACAAACTTGGTAGCCTCTCCTCCAAGCATCTTACAGGCCCAATATCAGCACTCATGGACTTTTGCTTGTTGAGAAGAAGTCGTTTGTATATTTTAACATATTTGACCCCTGTGACCTTGAAAGTGGGTTGAGGTCATTCATTTGAATAAACTTGGTAGCCTTTCCTCTCAGCATGCTACAGACCCAATATCCGCACTCATAGACTTTTGCTTATTGAGATGAAGTCCTTTGTATATTTTAACATATTTGACCCCTGTGACCTTGAAAGTGGGCCAAGGTCATTCATTTGAACAAACTTTGTAGGGCTCCATGCCAGCATGCTATGGGCCAAGTATTAGCCCCCTAGGCCTTCTAGTATTTGAGAAGAAGTTATTTAAAGATTTTGACATATTTGACCCCTGCGACCTTGAAAGTTGTTCAAGGTCATTCATTTAAATAAACTTGGTAGCCTTTCCTCCCAGCATGCTACAGACCCAATATCGGCACTCATAGACTTTTGCTTATTGAGATGAAGTCCTTTGTATATTTTAACATATTTGACCCCTGTGACCTTGAAAGTGGGCCAAGGTCATTCATTTGAACAAACTTTGTAGGGCTCCATGCCAGCATGCTATGGGCCAAGTATTAGCCCCCTAGGCCTTCTAGTATTTGAGAAGAAGTTATTTAAAGATTTTGACATATTTGACCCCTGTGACCTTGAAAGTTGTTCAAGGTCATTCATTTAAACAAACTTGATAGCCCTTCATCCCAGCATGCCACAGGCACAATATCAGCAATCTGAGCCTTTTGGTTATTGAGAAGAAGTTGTTTAAAGATTTTAACATATTTGACCCTTGTGACCTTTAAAGTGGGTCAAGGTCATTCATTTGAACAAACTTGGTAGTACTTCATCCCAGCATGCTACAGGCCTTATTTTAGTTGCCTGGGCCTTTTGATTACTGAGAAGAAGTCCTTTGAAGATTTAAAGACATTTGACCCCTGTGACCTTGAATGAAGGTCAAGGTCATTCATTTGAACAAACTTGGTAGGGTTTCATCAAAGCAAGCTACAGGCTAAATATTAGTTGCCTGGGCCCTCCAGTTATTGAGAAGAAGTTGTTTGAAGATTTTAAGACATTTGACCCCTGTGACCTTGAATGAAGGTCAAGGTCATTCTTTTTAACAAACTTGGTAGGGCTTCATCAAAGCAAGCTACAGGCCAAATATTAGTTGCCTGGGCCTTCCAATTATTGAGAAGAAGTCGTTTGAATGAAAAGTTTACGGACGGCGCACGGCGGACGGCGCACGGCGGACGACGACGGACGAAGCATGATGACTATAGGTCATCGGACCCCTAAAAATTAAGCAACGCATTTTACATATTATTATCAGATCAACATTTCAGGCAAGTTTCATCAAATTTTCAAATAAAATGAAGCTTGAAAAAAAAAACCATTCAAACTCTAAAGGGATTGTACCATAAGGACACACATGTAAATAACACCTTTAGACACCAGTAGGAATTACAATGTAACAGGTTACCTGCACCATACAAGTTTTTCAAACCTAATTGTTACAAGCGATGCTGTCAATTTTTGAAGGGATAAGAGTTCTACAGTATAATGTACAGGAAAGCTTGGTAATGCCATGATGAGATTTATAGGTCAAAAAGTTAAACATCATTTTTTTGGTTTGATTAACGAACAAGCCTGTTGTATATATGATATGTATGATCAATGAAGTGATACCGACAGTATGGACGAGTAAAATGTCAAATTTTTAAGGGAATACATCCAATATCTCTTATAGGTTTTTTTGTGTAGAGTCCAGAACACCATTTCCCATATTTTTGATGAGTCCAGTGAAAGTAAATATAATGGTTTCTCAAATATTGAGCGAGTCCCACAATAAAAGCATGAATACAGGACTCAAATATTTGAGTCCTAAAAATAACTGCTGCCCCTTTGTCAAGACATAAAGTAAAATGTCCTGATAATCCCTCTGACTGGTTAAATGCTGAAATCCCTTTAGAAGAAGTGAAAAACTATCATAAGATGATGTTTGAAAGATGGTAATCAAATATTATTTTATATGATATATATATTTATAACCATAATTTTCTTTTACATCACAAGTGTTTATCTATCTGAATATTTGAAAATATGTCTGCAATATATTCTGAATAAGTTTCTGATACTATACCCTCTGCAAGTGGTACTCCTGGTGATATCATGCTTGGTATGATGTAGGGGAAACAACTCATCTTATACAATTATAAACTCATAAATTATAGAGCTTTACACATCTACTTGAATCATGTTGCTTATCATGTAATTTATATGTCTGACAGACGGAAATAAACAGTAGCAACAAGCAACTAGTCAAGTAAAATTTGCTTGTTTGTTTTCTTGGGAAATACACGAGACTTGAGAAAAAAATGTATATCTGGGAAAGCACAATGTGATGTCTGCTCTGAATAAGAACAGTAGTAAGCAATTTACATCTGGTGAGCTTAGCTAGCTACCCACATTGCAAACAAAACAAGAAATGTCAGTGGAATACACTTACATGATAAAATACATTATACAAAATGTTATGGGGACATAACTAATTCAGAGCAGATTGGAGGAAGGAAATTCTGGACCAGTAAACTGGAGCTAACTTTGTCATGGTTTACAAAACATTTCTCATTGCAAATTTAACATTATCTTTAAATTTGTGTCATTTTATATTTGATTTTATACAGATACATCTATAATGGTACATCAACTGACCCTTTTCTAGCAACTTCTTGGTGTCTGTTGCAGGCAGCTTGATGAACATGTTTCCAAAGCACACCCAAGTCTTCTGTGTTTTCTTGTCTTTTGACAACAGCCTAAAGGGACAGAAACATGACTATACAAAGGTGTAGAAATGTTATACATAATGATATGTATATCCTCACTTCTGGTTTAGCAAAGATCCATTATCATGGACCTATGAGAGGGAATCAGAGTTTTTTCTATAGTTGATAAAACAATGTTGATCCAAATGTATTATAAGTTTCTAAATGCCATTCTTGTTATAAAGAGACTGAAACAGATATAATACTATATCATAGAATCTCAATCAAAACAATAAGTGTTGCGTATCATGTGCTAACCTGTAACATTTCTGAAGCACTCTGAAATCTATCAACACATAGCCTTACTCCAGTTACTATGCCAGTACATCCCTTAGTCAGCCTTCTTTAAAGTGGAAACTTATAGTCATTACCATATCTGCTTGAGTATCTTAACATATAACTTTTGTATAAACTTGCATGACAATGCCACAATATCAACAAGAAAGAAGTGTGATTAAGGTACAATACATGGCATCTAGGACAGGACCTCGAGGTCACAAATGTAGGCATGACTCACTGACACAATGACTGTGAAGGAGATATTTTCATTAGATTGGTCATGGGGTACATGAACTTTACTTACATATCTCTTTTTAATTACAATTAGCACTAGTTCTTAAAGGGATATTCTGTCCAACTTGCAAAATTTCTGGCTATCCTGTACCTTTTCAGAACTCATTCTAATGACTTTTTAAACTATTGTTAGCATCAAAATATCTCTCCTGTAGTCAGTTTGGACTGGCGAAATTGGTGGGAATACTGCCAGCCAAACCATCTAAACATAGCACATCAATAAACTTGAAACTGAAAGATTGCTGGATCATAGATTTTATACTGAGTACTGGGTAAATATGCAAGTGTGTATGCAATTTACTAAACATACTGCTGGGATTACAGTTTTATTACTTAATTAGGCTCATTTCCTGATGATTTTATAATTAAGCACAGATATTTCATTCTGTTCAGCTTATAACAATGCAAACCTTTTAAGATACAATCTGGGATAGAACTAAAAATAATTTCTTCAAATTAAATATCATATGCTAGTTTTAATGGTAAATTAAGGTGTATGATTTCCATAACAACATAAGTAGATGATTTTGTAAGTTTTCTTCAAAGTATTCTATGAAATCCTAACTTGTACAGACTATCCCTTCAAACATGTCCATAAAATTTTATTTTACTGTATCACATGTTGACCGACAACTTTTGCTTCCAAGAACTATACATTACAGATGTGATATTTTTGAGAAAGTACTTTGCAACACTAGAGAACTCTACATGTCTGACATATTTTAGTTGTTGCTGAGACTTATGGCAGTAACAACTTGCAGTAATGTATGTAACTGTCATGCTGATTGGTAGAAGTAATGATACTTGCCTTATTGCCTCCCTTGTTTTCTGGCGTTTCTTGTCCAGTTCTACCATTTGATGTTTGTCAGATATGATATCTTCAGCCAATTCCTCTACCTCTGCTAGGTGAAGCAGCAGCTGGTTAGTCTCCATCTTTTATAAGACATTACCAGGAAAGACTAGGACACACACACTACAGACAAATGGAAAAAATTATCTATCTCCAGAATTTGTATTTGATTGTTACATTGTAGATCAAGAATAATTACAGCAATCTCTACGTGCATTTAAAAAAAATCCGTTAATTTAATTTGTTTTGAGATTTAATGAACACATATGATTTTCAAATGTTCAAAGAGTAAGTTACAATGTACAATGGAAGCTTAAGTGATTTTTATTAAAACAAAATCTGTCATCATACCTGTGCAAAGCATGGATTATTTCATATGCAACAATAGTTCGAAGTGTTCTGAATATCTATGTGATATTTTTGTCTTGGTCGTGAATCGTACGAAGTTAATCAGAACCCTTCAGAATAATGCAGCAAGTGGAGTAGCTGCAACGGTTTCCAATCATATCTTTCGTCGCAGACTTATTATAGTCCGTGCTTTCGTAAATCTGATAACTTTTGTTTACATCAAACGGAAACTTATGTATACTTGTGTTAAAAGCCTGTATCAGAGTATAATGCACAATGAATGCAGTAAACTCGAAAACCAACACCTTCTAAGCTACTTTCAAACACTATCAATGCTTTTTAAATGATAACCGGTTACTGTGTTTTAAACCGATATCACTGTGAAACAACATTTACATACGCTAGCATGGACTGATTATACAGCGTGGTGGATTCTAAACAAGCATCGCAACTAGGCCGTCGCCATCTTGTAGCCTGACATTCCAGTCGTTTACCAGCAAGATTCAAGGTCATGTCTGAAATTTCAAGTGCGTTTATTAATAACGTTACGATAAATATTAACTTTCGCTTTCGTTTTACAGAGTGATACTTGTAAGCCTAAGATGTTCTTTTGTAATAATTATAATATTTGTTCAATTAAAAGGCATATTACATGATGTTACATTATTTGAAAATAATACATGCTAAATTCAGGTCACATTGCACTTCATAAATAAATGAAATATTTTTGATACGGACTTTACAATTTTTGAAGGTTTCGTAGATTTTGCTTTGAAATAATGTTTTTAAAAGGAGTGCGCCATTGTCAAATCACATCTAAAATGATTTATCAAAAATATTTTTAGAATCGATATTTTTCCACTGTAAAGTTTACATTGGCATGCTTGAATTTTGTTATTATTCATGGTCTACAGACAACACAATATTGACATCCGAAGATGTAGTGATGAGATATTTTTTATGTCTGGGAGAAAGATTAACATGTTAAAATGTGTGCTTAGAAAAAGTACACAAATTTGCTAATGAAATTTCATACTCAGATGATTTTTTTCGAGAATACAATGTATATATTTAATGATGTTTTTCTTTCCACAAACACAACATATTACAAACAAAATGTACAGCAGCCAGTGCTGGAGGTCACCGACATGTCAGTGGTTCATACAACTCAACAAAAGCTGTCAGGGGCATCTTTAAAATGATTTTCCATTCAAGATGCAAACGCATAAAACTGCAGAATGTAAAATCAAGTATACAACGTACTGCAAATCAATAAAGTGTGACTGTGACAGCAAACCTATTAGCTATAAGGAAAGTGCATACACACAATGGCAGCAATTATACATAATCATAGACATTCATTGTTATGATTCACGAGGACGATTGCATGAGTAATGTTGGAAAAGAAAAAAAATTGACACTGAGAAAATGCAGAAAATCTAGTGTCTAATGCGGAGTTTAGTTTGTACGATATTCGCCTTTACATTTTATCAATGACCTAGAGATTTATTTCACTTTTGAGTTGTCATAATAATCGTTTTGTTAAAAATTTGGTAAGACAATGAAGGAGATTCCTGTGTGAGTTTCAACTAAAAAAAAGGTACAACTAATTTTCTTCCAAGATTAAAAAGATATATGTATTGGTAACGAAGAAATGTTAAATTTACTGATCAGAGGCATACATTTTGGAATTTTTAAACGATATATTACTATTTTTCTGAAATGCCGTTATATGATCTATAGTATAAACGTTCACCTGGAGCGAGAAATCAGCGCACGCGCGTCGCATTGTGTCTTCAATAGCTGCACAAGGAAAAATTTCACGAAGAAAATACGTATATACCAACGCAAACACACTTTCATTTTGACACAAAACAAGGCCAAGGGTGTTCTTAATCTTTCATTAAGTAATCCTCTATTTTCTTCGAGTGACATTGGTTCCAATCGACGTATTTGAATTAAAAAAGAAATGAAACGCAAGCTTTATGCTTATCTTATCATTATTATTTTTACATATAGTTTGTTGTCTTGTATAATTTTCTTTATGTTCAGCTTATAAATGAAACGAAGCCATGGATGAAATATTACTGGGTAGGTATTCTATTTGTTTTATAGATATATCGTTGAATCAACTATCCAATTGTATTGTATAGTGAAAATGTACTTTTCATGTAGTGAACATAGGAAATCGGACCACGACGTTAGACATGGGTTTTCTGGTCATCACGGTCGAAGGGAAGTAACTCCGGATAAAGTTAAGATGTTTTTGTTTGCTAACAAAGTTCATTGTCTCGTTAACACCCATTGAATTTGCACAGTTTAACTCCAACCTCGTTCACGTTTAAAAAAAATACAAGCTCTAAACAGTGTAGTGTACTTTTTAATGGATGTTAGTTACATGTTTAAAATTTGAAGTAGATGTTATCAAGTATATATATTGTGACGCATAACAAACATTTGTTAAAGGTTAATCATGCTTTTAAATTCAATATTTGTTCCCTACGGAGAACTGAAAGCTTCGTTTTCTTCTGCTAATGAAACACGTTTAATCACGACCATTCTTTTCACATCTTCTCTTCATTACAATTGAATTGCATGCACCGCTAGGCAACAAATGGTGGCCAGATTTCATCCTACCTCCCAGTATCTGAGGGTATAACGGTGATATTGTGGTAGATGAATTCACCCCTTCCCCAGGTATTGTTATCAACAATCAAAGACACAGAAAACGAGATTTTGAACGAATTCAAGAATCGCTTTTTCTTTCTCTTGTGGATTTCTAGGGTGTAGCTATGTGTTAAATATTTTGAGTCATGGTTGATAGCTACAGCCGAAATCAGCTACTTGATCAAGTATTGATCAATAGTTTGAAATACCATAGTCTATTCTATATGTTGTTATTGGTGATATGGCAACGTTGTTCGAAATCAGATCGTATATTTGCCTCACTATAAGTGTTTCATATATGGTAGCAATGTCAACAATCAGATATCTACAATTCAGGTTTGCACCATTGTTCTATAAAGCTGACTAAGCAGCGTTCACTATATAAACTTGTAAAAGGACATCTCCATCAGACATGTCTGCTGAGAATGGGAAATCGATGATCGTATCTTCATGTTACATCTTATAGCAAACCAATATGGCTGTTCTGATCATTGACATATCCAATCGTAATATAGTTTATTTATCACTATTGTGTTATGAAGGATGGTCCAGCTGCTTATTGTCACAAAAGATAGTCGGCTGCCTTGGAGGAGTATACCGTGTCCTTGATCTTCAGATCTGGCGTTTAAATAACTATTGTACAGAGAAATTGATTCGTTCTGTTTTCGTCACAATTTTGAAACGGAGAAGACAAAGCAACAGCAACACAATCACTGATATATCGGTGGATTTTTCAAGTGTGTGAAAATTTATTTACAAGGATTTTTCTGAAAATTCTGTCCTTTTTTAAGGGCTTTACTTCCAGTAGTCTTTTTGGTGAGCTAAGATGTCTAAACTTAGTATAGTATAACACGTCGGACCAATGTCTTGCAGATCACACTTTCACTCCAACTTCGACATTCAAACAATTTACCTCCGCCTTCTGTATTTTCAGGATGACATTTTTGTTTGAAGGAGTTATAAATTTGTGCACATGTGGACAACAAAGACGACAAAAACATTCTAATGATCAAGAAGAACGATTGATAACGGAAAGGTCAACAAGGGCAACATCGATCCATTATCGTTAAATCAAAAGTTTAGAATTTTTTATTGGAAAACACCAGTTGATATTAACAAACGGTATTGTTGGTTACAGAATCAGTCATCATCGTCATAACATTAGCTCTATGATACAGCTTTCGTCATTTGGCTCTACAGTATCTGAATCTGAGAACTGAAATGTATTTCGTACAATCTTTGATGTTAAAAGTATAGTTAAGATGTTGTTTTCAGTAGGACGAAACGATCAACGACCAAAGTACTCATACCCTACTGAATTGTTCAACCCCATGATATCATGCCCCTTAATCATCAATTTTGGGTTCGAGTGCAACACGCTGGATTGTTCTATCAGTTAGACACATCACCCATCACCTAGCAGAAAACACAAGGCAATCCAAACGTGCAACTGGTATATGGGCATATAGAATTTTATTCTTTTTGAAAGCTTAAATGGATAAAAATTCAAATTCACCATCCCTTGATAAAAAGGAATGTTCCTGTAATTTTCAATGAACAGAAATTGCTATGTAACGGATTGTATGGATATGCAACACACTTTGTCCGTCAGCCTTAAGTGTCCAATTTATTGAGCAACGCTTTCGGCATTAGCTTCATTATTTAATTGATAAATATCTCCATTTCTAGAAATGTTAAATCTTTCTGTCGCCATTTTGCGATCGATATAGTAATAATAAAAAACCCAAAGAACCAACTCTAATAGTTTTGATGATTTTAAAAGTGATTACCGAATACAGCCGCGCTCTGATGTTCGTGAACAGCGTCATACAACCAACATGTGACACATTTATATTCATACTAATGCTTTTGAAAAGCAAGCAGCGCAGCAGACATGCAAGTATATGCAATGTTAGAAATTTCTACTTGAGCACGATTCAATCAATGAAAAAGTCCTTTAAATGTGAAGAAATGAAGAAAACACTTCTTTTTTTTTGTCTGTAAGAGCACATCCTTCTCATTGGGTATCTATAGATCAATAATTTTTATATGAATATAGTCATTCCAATATTCTGATTGAATTGAATCCGCGTATTAAAATTATTTAATTGCCGATAAACCTTCATTTTATAAAAACTATAAATAAGCACGCAAATTAGCCCTATTGTCTGTACTACCGTTTTGGTTATATCGGGTGGTGAACCTTTCTATCATCGCGTGACGTTCGTGACTCACTCTTTTGATATTGAATAAAACGGAAGTTTGCGGAGGAAAATAAGCTCCTAAGATTACGTTTCAGCAAAATATCAGAAAAATAGACGGTTATTTTTTTATTGAAAGTAAATAACCGCACCATAAAGACTCTAAATAACACGATTATTTACTGTTTACTAATTCCAAATATTTAATATATAAATTCACATTTTGGTATTCAAGTGTCATGATGTGGCAATTATAACGACTATGAAAGTCATAGTATGACAGTTCAATGCTTATATTTGCATTCACCCTCTTTGTTTCTGTCTTGTGCTGATAACAGACTTGATTTAAACAATAGTTACTTATTTATTATCGACAGCGTAGTCCATAAAGTGGAACAGCCATTGTGACTGTAAACCGCCGCCGTTTCCATGGCCACAGCAATGACGTTATAATGATCACGTGCTGGATGCCTAATATTAAATCACCCTTATTTCCGAATAAAGCATATTGCGGCATTGTCATGCAGATGCTAATCTTCCATTTCAAACATCAATGTTGGGTGCTACTGTCATATTTGAGGTGTGAAATAAACGTTGTTGCTAATTGATTTGAACCCAGACATTAAAAAAACTCGTCTTTAACGTAATGTTATCGGTCTAACGAACCACGTTATACATTGATTTCCCTATCGTTGGTCTGCTGCTTCGTGAACTCAATTGAAATTACAGATCTCGTTATTCATTCCTCCGGAATACTCAGGGAAGAGTTTACTTTGGAAAGGTCAAAAAGGACAATGTTCTCGTCTCGTTAGTGGCGACTAGCTCTAGATATGGCGATGTTTCTCCCTGCGACCTTTTAAACATCATTAACTTGTTCTCTTACATTTCCACAGCCATCGGATTTTTTATATATGATTTTATCGAACGGTCCTTTTGAAATATCGATTTTGAGATAGACTATCTCAAATATGACAATATACTAGTTGAATTCTATACCGAAACCTTTGTGTAACCGAAAGGCGTGACCTTTTACCGTACACTGTTGGCTTGTTACCATTGTTTATGTTTGGTATTTACCAACGGAGACTAATGACCTTCCTCCTAATTTGAATGACACAATTCTAGTTTCTGTTTCCAATTACAATTAATTTTAACGGGATTTATTTTATGTTTTTCAATGATCACATGACTAGGCACCTTCTCTCTAAATAGTGAAATCAAATATGCTTCCGATAACTTTATTTCTTTGTTAAGGTTTCAAGGGTTTATTCAAGATTTCATTCTATCACTCTGACGCATAAAGTGTGTAACAAGAGGTAACATACATATAGTTAATATAATACAAGGCGTGTGATAATAAGTATAAAATTACAACATTTTCTGTAAATAATAATTGATAATTCACTTTTGCATTATAAATAATTTTTCTATAAATCTATATATTTTTGTGTGAAGATTTTTACATTGAATATATCAAACTAACCTTGCATTTTCATTTGACTTTGATAAATTAATTGATATTTTGGTATGTATTTCTCTTTTATACATTTACTGACTCATTTTGACAATTAAAATGGTAAAATTCATCTCAAATATCGGAGCTACATAAATTACAGGTTCTCTCTGGGCGAAGAATACGTAACCATCTTCCTGTTTTCACAGATAAATGCGTATTTGAAGAACGAACCTTACACATATTTTTGTTTTTTCAGTAATAAGCTTAATTAAACATTTTTCTTGCTCAAATTTTGTCTTAAATATTTTATATGTCTCCCTCTAAAGGTGTTAAGAATATCGTCGAACCAGTTCTGGATTTATTGATCTTTCAGTCTATTTTTCGCCAATGTCTTAATTTTATCTTTAGAAGAGGAACATGTAGATTGATAGTGCCAGACATTATTCAGGCCAGTTTGGAATATAATCTCTTTATTATTTGTGAGTCATTTCAAAACATTTGATTATCCGATCAACTTATATTTGACCTTGATAACAGACGACGTCAGCACTGTACATGTAACACTACAACTAAGGAACCTTGTACAGCATATCTGAACACATAAAGTCAATACGAGGAAGTACGAGATTGATAGAGAGAGCTAAAATGCAATATGCGTTCTTATATGGAATAGAAAATCCTGTTAGATGTTATTTCTATTTTCATATTTGAATGTATAACCCGGCAAATAAATAGTGATAACGAATAATTATTTTAGTATTGTCCTAAGGATTAACGTAAAAAAATCCCTTGAATTAAGAATTGATTAAATCTCTTGATATATTAGCAAGGAAACTCTATATGAAATCACTGTTCTTTAACGTGTCTATAAATTGTGGAATCAATATGAACATACATCATATCGTATGTTATTAGGAAGACTTCAATGTGTCAGCACCATATTATTAACATTATCAGTGTAATGACGTGAAAAGGACGTCATCTACTCGACACCGTAAACGTCCTCTTTCTAGAATTAATATCGGATGTCCTGACCCCAAACTTCCGGATATTGTCCGCTGACAAGGATTGTTCGAACGCATCGTTATCCTCACACTGGAATCGAACCATACGTTCATCAGCGGTAAGTGAAAGTTGATTATGTTTTGAATCTCTGGGACATTCTTTCGGAACTGGCAGTCCAGCGTCTATCATTCTCTTGAGGTCACGCGCACTACACACTGGCGTTGTTAATGCATGAGTCTTGTGGAAATTTGCAAAATTCAATATGTAAGCACCTGCTTTGTTCATTTTTGTGCCTAACGTATCAAATCTGTGGCCCCATAATATATCCCACGGGAGGTAAGATGTTTGGGCTTGGAATGGCATACTCGTGGCTGCCACTGTACCATCCAGAATAATCACAAGCTCACAATTGTATCGTTTGAGATCTTCTCGAGATAAAGACCACAGTGGCGACTTCTCGTCGATCACGTGTACCAGCTGTGTCGGCCACGCAAGGAAAATTTGTAGACTGCTGTCCTCACCTTTAAAAGTCATTGGATGGTAATTAACTGGGTAACTTTTCCCTGACTTTGCCGCCATCTTCTGGAAGAAGTAGCCTTTCACCTGTACATTCAGTATAAAAGACTTCCTCATGTCACCAACTCTAATTACTAGTTTCATCTGATCATCTTCCTCTACTATACACGCAACAGTACTGAATAAAATTGTCCTTGCCCTCTTTTTTGCTCTTCTGATCTTGGCAACCACAAGACCGGCTAAAGCTGCCTGCAATCCTGCACCCACTATAGATTGTATAAAAATCCCCAAATATACAACAGGACACTCCTCTGTGGCGGACCTAGAACCATAGCCAATGGTGGTCTGCGTTTCAATAGAAAATAAAAAGGTGGATGCGAACGATTTCACGTCGGTGATGCAAGGGCTCCAGTCGGTAGTTGCATAATTAATAAAATCACCATGGAGATGACACACAAGCCAATAGTACAACGCAAATAATAACCATGTAATAGTAAATCCACCAATAAAAATGATTATATTCCAACTCCATTTGATTTCAATCATGTTGGTGAAAAAGTCTGTAAAGAAGTGGATTCTCTTGCCACTTATTCCTACACCTTTGATATTCGTCACACCAGAAGTACTGACCAGCCGGATGGGATTGGAGTCTGTGACACCTGTAGTCGATGCTGCCATATCTTTTCCTGTAAGACAAACAGAATACATTTCTAAGAACAAACTAGATATCGTTTCCATAATAAACATACATGCATGGCATTGATATAGTCAGAACAGAAGTTGGCCGAGGTTTTGAACTGTTATTCTACACTCGAGGATGTGGCTTGTCTATTTAGTGTTTAGGTTTAATCTGATTGTATAATATATGATAATACATACATGGGTATCCCCAAGGTCGCGAACATCAACCACACATAAAGCTAATGATTTAGAAAAAGACCGACAAAACCTTTAAGGCAAGAAAAAGGGAGTAAGTTCAAGGTTTTTACTTGGAAATTCCGACATATCCATTCTTACAGGCTTTGGAAGGTCACACCGTACTTTTGAATTATGTATATAGGCGATAATCTATTATTGATGGGCGTTTGATATAATCTACCGTTTTGAAATAATCATGTGTATGCTTGGAAGATATTTGGTGTACCAGCAAATTGTTCCTGCTAGTATAGGACTTAAGCAGCGTCTCGTGTGTTTATAAGAACATTTTGATAAGCAGTGCAGTACTTGTCACGTCAGCATCTATTTTGGTAATGATGACTTTACTGTGTTGATTGGCTTTCCAGGACTGAAGCTATGAATCAATAAAACTTAGAACGAGCTATCTTCAGGTAGAATATTATATGAGGGCTGTTTGATAAGTTGTGAGCCTTATATTTAAGGATTTGACTTTTGGCGGACATATTACATTATAATTCCCTTCAGTATCTAAACTCTGCTTTTAATGTTAAAGGGCCTCAATGGCACTTTAAAAGAAGGCTTTTTCTTGACCGTTCAGAATGTCCTCCACTGTATATATGAAGTCATCATCTGACCGAAAGTGGGTACCGGAAATTACTTTTTCCAATTTTGGAAATAGATGAAAGTCTGATGGAGCGAAAATAGGCGAATAAGGCGGATGCTCAATCACTTTAAAGCCACAGTTGTTACTGAAAGCCATGGCAATGACAGATTTGTGTCTTTTTGGCGGGGGTGAACCAGGGTGCTTCCATTGTTTAGACTGTTGTTTGGCCTTTGGGGTGAAATGATGTACTCACGATTAGCACGCGACAAAGTCCGCATGGTATGCTTCTGATCATCTGTCCTAATGGGCCGAGGGCTTTCTCCCGTAAGAATGGAATGCACTATTTCTTTTGAAATCCCAAATGTAATGGCTATATATATATATATGTAACTCACGTGTCAGCCATTACGATATTATGGGCTTTCTTGACCACGTCTTTTCACTGTAGCATATGAAGGGGCATCATTCCCCAGTGTTGCTACCATATCAGTATGGATATCCTTAGGTACTAGACCTTTCTTATGCAAATATTGAATCAGTGCTCTTTTAGCGATTTGTTCATTTTGCAAAAGTCATTTGCCTTGTTTACTTTAGAGAGCTTCCTGTTCGACATAAACTGACTAAATGACTCCAGTCTTCGGGTACACAGCCTTAACTAGTCGGGGAATAGTCGGGCTGAAAAAGGACCTCCCTACTTTACTTCACTTTAGTGCCTTATTTTTACATGCATTATGCACTATAATATAATTTACAAAAGCGTAAATGAATGTTAATAGGCTTTAAATTCTGATGACCATTTCATGAATTGAATACATCTAAGCTACAATGAATAACTGATACTTGCTTACTAATGAGAGATCACCAGACTTGTATAATTCTTCAACGTAAACATGGTATCTCCGTGGTAAAAAGACAGACTGTTGATACGAATTTGCTAACACAATCTATCGATTTTCATTATCGCATCAGCATTGAATATTTAATGTATTTAACTACTTATATATGCTAGTTAATAAACAAGACTGCTGTCTTAATATAGAAACTATCCTGACAAAGTAAACAATGGATATAACATACATATAATTTGCATACCAAAAACGGTTACTGTCAAATTTATAGATAAATGCACATAGACATACAGATTTTCTTCCACATACATCGTTTACTCATATCAATAAAACCACATAAGGAAGAAGTGATTGTTAAGAAAATATTTCTAGATAAATGATACAGCATTGGTGAGGCGTATATATCGGCAGCACTAAAGACAAAAAATGTAGTACAAAGGATACACGAAAATACTCTTCTAAGTGGGATAAATAATTAGGTATTGCTTGTAATGAAAGGTAATTAAGACGTGTTGTATGACTAACTCAAAATGTATGCATTATTTCAAATAACGTATGGAGTTCAGAAACAGTATGCAAACAACATAACTCACCTTTTTAATGTTTAAATTTCCTGTGCACAAAATTATTGATCATCATTGTCTTTGGAAGAAAGTTATTTTAACAAGAATTGGTCACCATATCTACATTGATATACACATATGAAATCCCCTTACAGCAAAGAGGCGATAGACCAGCAACAATCGATGACACTATGTCTGGTCATCCCTCTATCATTACAGTGAGATCTTCTGATCAATAACATTTAACGATGAAGTGGTGTCTGTAGGGGTGTCAGATAGTAACATTGATTGTTGTCAGGTCACGCCTGATACCGGGCACCGTAACGATTTAAGTATGATGCTTTGTTTCTATCTAAACACACATGGTGGACGTCGTGGTGACAATATTCTGAACAATATAAAAAAATGCATTATTTACTACATAGTTATTACTACCACGGTCCACTATAATTACAGCCAACACACTGGAAGATATACCAAGGTAATGTCAATTACAATAGAACTACCGATACATCGGTTGTAAATACCAATAACAATGTTCCGAGATTTATCAAATAAATGTAGTAAATAAACACTGGGCGCCCTGAAGTAGGTTATTGTTATTTAATGACGAAACGTAAGATGACAATAATTGTTGGAAAGGACAATCTGGGAGAGAGATACAGCTGTACACGAAACATTCTTAAGCCTTCAAACAAGTGAAATATCTCGATGTCCATTCTATTTCAACTACTTTCGGTGAGAAATTGTCGCACTGTTGTATGTTTAAACTTTGGTACGATCATCATTATACCGTCTAGCCAACCAAATGTCACGGACACATCGTACTCCTAAGCATAATTGGACGGCGAAATTTGGAGACAATTATTATATATATATTCTGTATGTTGCCTTATAGGCCATGCCCTGCTGTATTACACGGTGATTAAAGGTTTATATATAGTATCTTAATGATAGTGCTCATTATAGAGACAGCAGATCAATAAAGCTGTCCTCTAATCAACAGCATCTACATATACTCCAGAGACTAATTAAACAGATGCTGACGATTATATAAAAACAAACATTTGATCCTGTCAAACATGTATCATGCAGTTCTCGATTGAACACTCAATAGCATTTCCTGACTTATAAACGATACACAGTGTGCTCCAAAGTAAGTGTAATACGGTGTTTATACGAAAGCATTTTCGGTTTTGAACCATCGAGTGCATTTACCTTTGTTTGGCATTTCTACAATGTAAACATTAAATCTTGAAACTGATGATGGTGGGGATGTCTGAATCGCTCTAAAATAATAATAATAAAAAAATCAAATATTTTTTGTATAATGTTTCCAGATAGCTAATTACCTACATTGTCCTTGGAAAAATGATGAAGATTGTAGAAAGTTGCTTTCTATACAGCTGATTAACTACATAGTACAAGGATAATGATGATGTTTGTAGAAATGTTTCTATACAGCTTATTAGCTACAACTAGTGCAAAATATAAACGAAAGAAAAAGTACAAAGAGAATACGACAAGGTATTCAGAACGACTTTCGACATGTAAATCTTGATCAAATCAATCAAGTAATGTTACGTTCCCAAATCAGAACAACATTAACAGAACCAACAGGTAAACCAACGAACATCAAACACGTCCAGCTTTATATCACGTAAGGAAATAGAATGTTCACCTTGAGATCATCGACCTGCATCTCTCGAAATCCTGTATTTTGAGTTGTTGTTGCTTCTCATTGTGATAATGAGAACAAGTCCTTGGATATCGGGATTACTGTAGGTTGGGGAAGCGGGGTTGATGCTCTCCAGAAATGGAAAGTTTACAATATGTAAATTGCAATCATCATGCTTATCATACAGCTGTCCCTTTTGATTGAAGAATGTTTTAATTTAGATTTACACAATGGTCAAGCAACGTTATACGAATATAAGAATACCACGTATTAGATTTGTTAGAAAGGCACTGTTACGCTTTCTATAAATTTGTTTCTAGAAGATTGCCAAACAAGAAACTCCTACATACACCTTCCAGTTTACTAAGTAATTGCCCTTTGTTCTTGGTCATACTGTACTACAAACATTAAAGTTGGCGGCTCAATTGCTGTGTAACAAATGTATCATCATTATTAACTGACTTCACACTGACTTAATAGCATTCACTCAATTTGATTTCTAGTTAATGTGTTTTGCAAATATTTAACATTAAAACAAATCATGCTATACGATACACACTTCCTCTGTCTACCTGACCACATAAAGGCAACATCCACGTAAAGGATTACAGTACTACAGTATGCTAGGTTATTACAGGTTCGGGGACTAGTAGGGTTATATATCCTGTACTTACTCAGTATGCAGGTGTTTATTTACATGCATCAGTTGCACCTATGTATTTATCTGAAAAACAGCTATGTGTACGTATATGTAATAAGAAGCAGCCATTTTTAAAGGTCAAAACTGGAAAAGCGTAACAATGATCAAAACAGTTTCATCGTACAAAAGCCTTTGTAAAGCCCTATATTCTAAATGTCCTCTACTTGAATAGGTTTATACATCCGCATATAGCTACGGGGATCAGCATATTGTGTCCGTTTGTTATTAGGAACCTTTTGGCGTATCTTGTTTGTGATGTAAATATAACTGAGATGTATACAATATGGCAATACAACATACGTCTATTTTTTGCCGAACAGGTATGTGACGTACTTGCAAGCTTGTTTATACTTCGATATTACTTACAAAGTAGTTCAGCGAAGTTAAAAACACTAA